AGGGGCGCCACCATCATCTAGGAGCGCGACACTGTCGACTGGAGGGGCGCCAATACTGGACAGAGGGGCGCCGCCATAATCTAGAAGCGCGCTGCTATCGACTGGAGGAGCGCTAACTCTGGACAGAGGGGCGCCGCCATCATCTACATAAGAGCGCGACACTGTCGACTGGAGGGGCGCCAACACTGGACAGAGGGGCGCCACCCACCATCATCTAGGAGCGCGACGCTATCGATTGGAGGGGCGCCAATACTGGACAAAGGGGCGCCACCGGCCCACCATATCGTCTAGGAGGGCGCCACTATCACCAGAGGAGCGCCAATACTGGACAGAGGGGCTTCGCCATCAACTAGAAGCGCGCCGCTATCGACTGGAGGAGCGCCAACACTGGACAGAGGGGCGCCAGTCACTGAGGGCGCCGGGGACGATGAGCCAAAGGGACAGGGCATGCACGGAATGTCCTGTATGTGCGTACGCCACTGGCGGGAATACTGGCTGTATAAGTGCCTCCGGTATCGGCTCTCAACTAAGCAAAGACCCACCTTTGCCAGATGACTCTTGCTCTGAGTAATTAGTCGAGGACGGGTTCATTTGATAACTAGTTTTCGTCACAAGCAATGGACAGAAAGCACACTCTCCTTTTGTATTAGGAAGCATGTTTGTGGTATTGCGGCAATGAGCCTGAAGCTGGTCTGCCAGCAGCTCCATGGACATCAGCAGCAGCCAACTGCACATCTGCCTGAGGCGTAATAAGCTGGGACTTGATTGGTGAACTCAGCCTGGCTGCGACCGCAAAAGCCACCCTGTGCCAACGCAGATTGACTTGAATTCATGACCGATGATAAGAGGGCCCACATCATGACCCACCGCTATCCGCCCCTTACCTTGGTTCTTCTGCTCATCAAACTGAAAAAGACAACGAAATTGACGGGAAAATAGCCGGTGCGCCACCTTTAGCCTCACGCCAAGACGCATCCACTGGTCGAAGGAACACACAAGCAAGGAATGGTGTGGTGAAATGGGCAGCTATTCGCGCTGTACTGTCTTTTGAACCGTCAAAGCGGCCTTGTGTTGGCTGCCAGTAACTCAAACGTCCCGGCCGTCACCGGCGTTAAACATCCGGCCAAGATCCAGATCTGGAGCATATTCAACTGCTGTGCGATGTTCCAGCTGTGCATTGACCAACACATTGACAGAAGAGTCCACCATCAATGACGACTGACAAGTATTACCGGAGCAACATCCTGTCAGACAAATTAGTCCGTAGGAGAATGAGAAGTAACGCCGGGAGAAATGACGCCTCTTATCCTTCTGGACTAACGAACTACGGCTTGGAAATAGTTTTCATCCTAATTCCATCGAGATCTTATGGACTTTTGTCCAGCAAGAGGTGAATAAGGGGACATCCGGCACAGGACAGAGCAACTGTATGTAGGCACATACTAATACGGCGTCGGTCCACATCAAACCCACTGTGCTTAAAAACCCAGTAGCTGGAATGTTCTAGGTATTTCTAGATATGATGTTATTAAAGGTAGCTTTGATATATCATCATCAAAGGGAAACAACCTCAGGTTGTTTGTTTCTTAATTACAGCTAAAAGAAAGGTGTGCGGATGATTTCGTTACACTCTGTATTATTCTTTAGACTAATTCACTGATACGTCAGCCATAATAATTCTGTGACTTTTGTCAATTGTCATCCTGAGGCTCTAACTAAACTAAATGAATGCTTAGAGCAAAAGAAAATGACAAAATCGTGACCAGCGACTTCAAATACAGCAAATGAGACTGATCATGTGCAAAAGTCAACCAAAGGCCATTCGAGGTCACATGAGGTCAACATAAGACTTGACCGTTTCAAACAACCTAACTATATGTCATTCGACGCATCTTGATATGACTAATGCGTTGGCACCACCTTCTTTGCCGAAGAACTCTGCATAAAAACCGCAGCTCGGGGTCGCTGAACTGCCATCTACCCTATTGTAGGTATCAAAAATGTGTTTGTATTTTTTCCGAAGCCCCTAGGCATTCGGGGGCTATCGCAACTATTCGCCCGGGGTGGGGGGAGGAGGACGAAAAATGCCCTCCACGGGCCCGCGTGGGTTCACACCTCTGACGAGCGTTACGGCTGACAGAATGTGTCCGTACAAGTTGGAGAGCCGTGGCGACGCCCCTGGTCACAATATGAAAGTGTCATGTGATAGGTACATGTTTTATGGTCCATTCATTTTACATGACAAATGCGATTATGTGGGTCAGGCAGACGTTTGGGCCAGCTTAGGTCACGTTTTGGTCAAGGTCAAGTCAAGGTCAGGTCAAATTAGGTCAAATTTCAAAGCTGATATTTTTGCATAAAATGGATATCGATTCGATGCAGCTCGTCGCGGGGAGTTCAATGGTGGTCTTTGTTTTGCCCTACGTGGTCTAGAATCGCTAAAAATTGAGTTCAAAAATTTGACGTCATCATTTTTGAACAGTTTTTTCGCTATAACTTGGCCAAAAAACGAGATATCGATCTGAAATTTGGTATGTATATAGAAGAGCACAGGGACTATCATACGCGTAATTCTTTTTTCCACCCAAAGGAAGGCGCTATACGGAGAATATCCCATTGCGTCATTGAAAGGTGACTTACACCTCTCACCGGCCAGCTGGCTGCGTGGTGTAGTGGTGAGCACACTCGCCTCGTGATCTAATAACTAGGGTTCGATCCCCGCCGCCGGCCGAACTTTTTGGCGCGTTGTAGGTTAGGTTGTAGGTTTGTAGGTTGTAGGTCTGTAGGTTAGGTTGTAGGTTAGGTTGTAGGTTGTAGGTTTGTAGGTTAGGTCAGGTGAGGTTAGGTTATGTTTGTTTTTGTTTGGTTTGTTTACCAAGAAGCATCTTCGGGTATAGCGCCTTCCTTTGGTTGGAAAAAAGAAACACGCCTATCATACGTATTCATTTTTTTTTAAATTCGGATTTTTTTATTTTTTGTTTTTCTCAAAAAAACAATTTTTTGAATTTTTGGGGGTCAAAAACCCAAAATTTTTAAAATCCGAGATAGCAGTTTTGTAGCACCGCTTTTTTTCTACTAGACCATATAAAGAACTTTGAAATTACTTGGTAACTGTAAATTTGGTGAGCGTTTCAAGATTGCATGTTTTTTGCTCGAACATGACCTCAGTTTGACCTCAATAACTCCTGACCTAAGGTGATCTAAGACTTGAAATTCGGTGTGAAGGTTTCAAATTGATGCCCGGGAAGGTACTGAAAATTTGGTGGCGCTGCGCGCCGCCGTTTTCTTGCTATTCAGGAAAAACCACAGGGGGGGGGGGACAAAATGCCTCTCCCCTCAACGGGGCGAGGGTTAAGATGGGGCAGCTGTAATCTCCGTTTAGATGGGCGCCAGTGACCTTTGAGGGGCGCCAGCGACCTCAGATGAGGACGACTGTGATCTTCAGAAGCACGCGCCCTGGAGGGGCGTCATATGGGTTTGAATGGGGCGACTTTAGTCTCAAGCGGGATGACTTCAGTCTCAAGGCTAGTGGATCTTGAGGGCACTATTGATCTCAGATAGGGCGACTGTGATCTTGAAAAGAATATTGGTGCTTTAGAGGGGCGCCAGTGGTTTCAGGGGACGCCATCGATCTTGGATGGGGTAGACTGGGGAGCTGTGAACTTCAGAGGTGCGCCGGGTGCTCTGGAGGGGCGCCACCAACCTTTAATGGGGCGACTGTTTCGGACCGTTCAAGTGGGTGCCAGCGGCTCTTCAGAGGCGCTAGCTACCCTTGGGGTTCGGAATATTCTGGTTTCCAGAGGGGCACCCTTCAACATTGGGGGGCTCAGGTCCTATTTGGGGGTGCCCTGGAGAACATTTGTAAGCGGATTTCCGCTTACATGTTATGCGAGCGGATACTGGGCCTACCAGAAGTGAAAGTCGCAACTCTAAATTCGTCCTGTGCTGCAATAATGTCCTTGGTTTGTTGTCGCGTGTTTAGTGCTATTTAGTTATGATACTGATTTGTAATGACTATTTTATTATTTAATATTGTTCGGTACCAATGTTTCTTTAGTTATGTGTCATATTTCTTATCCGAAGAGTTTTAGACTTCCTGTAGGGGAAGTTGGGGGAACGCCGAAGACTTTTTTTCTGACGCCCGTAGCACGCAAGGTAGACAACATACGCTATTCTTGTTGGCGTCATTCGAGAGGCCAGTCTTTTGCCTTTCAAACATACCAGGCGCATTTGATGAATTCGCATACCGTTAAGCGCACAAACTAAAAATATCAAAGAAGTGACTTTTTCGGCGTTGCCCCGGGCTGCGGGAAAAGCCGAAAATGGGAGAAATGATCTACGGGGAATGCCGACATTGATGTTTTGCCATTTTATCTCAAACTTTATCCAGAATTCATCAAAGCTGACACACGTTTCAAGAGCTTGAGGACGCGGTGCACACTGGAAGTTATAATTGTGTGATATAATAAGAAAATGCCAGGTAAATCATTCCTTATAGGTAACAGGCCGTTGTGTCGGTTGAAAGTGTAATTTGTGTGACTAAAAATACGCGTTGCTATTCTACAGCAGTAAAGTCCACGTAGCGTGCTTTTAACACGTGCGTAATCGCACGTTTTCGGCATTACCCCAGCCAGCCATACTTTCATTTGCAGGCCCATAACTTTTCAACGTGCTGTATAAATTTCAAATAGGCAGCACACTTATGCAAAGACATGCTAAAGATTACTTGACCGAATTGGCCAGACAAACGGTAGCATAATGAGTAAAAGATGCAGCTTCAAAGGCGCATGTAGTACAAGGGAAACGTACCTTGAAAACGCTCTTGGCGCCCTCACAGTCGAAGTATTCCGAATGACGACTCGTAACAAACATGCGATAATTGTAGTCACTTAAGCTTCAGAGCATCACTGACAGGTGGCATCCATGTCTTACAGTTTTCGAAATATCTCGAATTTCGGCTTTGCCCCAACTCCGGCATTGCCCCAACTTCCCCTAATGATTTTGTCCAATGATGTAGCTGCGCGCCACGCGAGAGCCAATCAGGTAATCGCTTATTCTGACCAATGAGAGAGCAGCCGAATTTCCGTTGAGCCCCCGTCGCGTCCAGAGCGGGGATTCGGTGCGCCGCGACATGGCGAGGATCGAGATGTGCTTGGATTGCGCCTGCTTGAACGGTGGGTTTCAACTTTCGTGATAATTACTGTTTATTTTATTTCACATTCTCTAATAACGGGTTTTGATATTTCGTGCCGGCTTTGTATGTGTCGGGATTGTGACAGTTGTTTGTCTTTTCTTTCTAGGGCGTTTCAATTTGTTTGTTGTCTGCTTGTGCTGGATACACGCTTGGTTGGCTCCGAGTTCGGCGTTTGCCTCTGACGCCAGCGGCCGGGGATAGACGCTTACATCTGGTGGCAGCGGTGGGATGCTCTGAGCTCGACGGCCTAAGCTTGACGGCCTGCATCTGGCGTCAGTAGGATTCTCCGAGCGCGGCAGCTGACTGCTCAGCGTCTACACGCCGGTGAGACCTATCCAGTTCGGACTTATCCGATAGCGGGATGTGCCTGAATCCGATAGCGGGATGTGCCTGAACGGTTGTGTCACCCGATCTAAGCGATCGCCCTTTGACCATTGTTGGAGCGGGTAATCCTGCCTCGCGGTCCGAGGACTACCGGCCACTCTCGATGGAGACTGGGACGAGTGCACTCCCCCCTGTTGCGGACACGAGCACCTTCTGACCCCCCGGAGACTCAAGTGCTTCCCCCCCCCCCTGCAGAGGACGCCGTGCGTGGTATTCTCCGGTGACAATGCGCGCACTACCCCCCCCCCCCCCCCCTTATGAAGACGCACGTGGACATTTGAAGCTGAGGTGTGCCAAACTGGGCTGACGTGGACATAAACACTTGGTGGTTGGGGATATGAGTGGTGACAAGGGTGTTTCATTGATACTGTGTGTCATGTATGTGCTTGGTTTGGGAAGGTGTGATGTTGCTTGCTGGTAAAGTGTTGCGGTCTCACTGTAACGAGGTAATACTGGCTCTACGATTTCTTTTTCCATTGTAAAACGTCCTTTCCATCGCCTTTCTCGCAGTAATTTGAGCATTCAATTTTAGCGTAACTTGTTGAATTACTTTCCGTATTAACGACTCTGCGGTTCCCCTTACATCACCGATTTTTTTTCCGTTGGAAGTGTGCCAAATTTGACATTCAGCATGGCGACGCAGTCACTATCGGTCGGTCTGCCGTCTTTCGCCGGTAAGGGCAGTGTCTCTCGTTTCATCGCGGACTTTGACACGTTTGCAGTCCTACAAGGATGGGATGACGATAAAAAAGTAGCTCTGCTGCCTCTGTGCTTGTCAGGCATTGCGAGGGACGCCTACGATGCCTTCCCGACCGAGTGCAAGAAGAAGGTAGGCGACGCGTGCAAGAGATTGGAACTGGCTTTCCCCTCCGGCGACAAAGTCGAGGCACAGGTCCAGCTCCGGTCTTTGAGACTCACAACAGATGACAGCCTTGATGCTTTTGTGGTGAAGCTTCGAGGGCTAGTCAGTCGCGCATTTCCCGACACCCGACATACCGATCATGACCCCTTGCTGTACAATTACTTCCTCCAATCACTGCCACCGACATATCAACAAGCGCTAATAGGCGAGGGCATCCAGACGTTCGACAGTGCGGTGGCAAAGGTGAGAAACCTCTCATGCGCCGCGAAGGTGGCAGCGAGCCAAACGGTTCGGCAGGTAGCGGCCACAGACGAGACAGACCTACTTCGTCGGAAAGTTCAGGAGCTGGAGTTGAAACTCTCGAGACTGGAGCGTCCGCAGGTAAGCGCTCGTTCTCCCCCAGTGTCCAGCAGCGGCCGTACTTGCTTCTGTTGTGGGAGGCCCGGTCACAACCAGGCGCGGTGTCGGCAAAGGCACCTGCCGTGTCATGTGTGTGGGACCAAAGGACACTTGGCCCGGATGTGCACGCAGCAGGTAAACCCCCAGCGGGCTGGGCCCGGCCCCGACCCCAGACCCGAGCAGCAGCGGACCCCAGTCTCAGGGTTCCAGCGGGGACCAGGTCCACATCAGTGGGATGCCAAACCACAGGACCAGCGGCCGCAGCCGTTTCAGCCGCCCCGGATGGCCCAATCGTTGCAGCCCGAGCAGGTGAGAGGACAGTCCACTTGAATGCTGACATGACATTTGACGCTGATGTGGGAGGTGTGACGTGTTCAGTGACGCTGGACACCGGCAGCAGCATTAATATCATTCACAAATCCGTTTTTGATGTGCTCCCCAAGGCCCCTCCCCTTTTCACTACGGCCACAGTGGCACACACGGTTAGCAGGGACCCCCTACCACTGATCGGTCGTACACAGATTGCCGTTAAAGTTGCTGGAGAAGTAGTGGTGGTTCCATTCTATGTTTCGGATCAGATTGACTGCACTGTTTTGTTGGGATTGGAGTTCTTTGGCGTGTGCCCGTGTGTTCTGGATCTCACCAAGAGTCAGCTGATCCTCAGCTCTGCGAAAATGGTCAGAACCATCTCCGCGTCAGTCTTCTCGGTGGGTAAGGTGATTTGTCAGAGAGACATCGCGGTTCCGGCCGGACACGAGGTCTTCTTTCCAGGTTTTGTTCCAAACGTCGACTTCAGAGGGCCAGCACTGTGCGAGCCATTGCTTGAAGTCCCGGGACTCGAGTTGGTTCCTTCCATGGTGCAGGTAAACGGTCAGAGTGTTCCGTGCATTGTGAGAAACATTACAACTGAGCCGGTCACGATCCCCAAGCGTGCGGAGATCGGTAGACTGGAAGTGGGCGTGGCTGAGTTTCCAGTCCCTTCAGGTGACGCAGATCCCAATTGGCGTGAAAAGATAGACCTGTCAGACACAGACCTCAGTAAGGAGCAGAAGGAGAAGGTGACCGAGCTGCTGACCAAATATAGTGACATGTTTGATGGTCGGTTGGGCTTCACATCCGCGGTGGAGCATCACATCGACACAGGTGACAGTCCGCCGATACGTTCAGCACCCCATCGCGTCCCACCATTCCTGGAGGATAAGGTAAGGGCCGAGATACAACGCTTGGTGGATCTAGGGGTTCTGGAAGAGTCGAATGGATATTGGAGTAGTCCTGCATGCTTTGTCGCAAAGAAAGATGGACGAGTCCGGATCTGTGCTGACCTCCGAAAGGTTAACGCTGTGACTAAGATGCCTGCTTATCCTGTCCCCAGAATAGACACGATTCTAGATTCCCTGGGTGGAAATTCAATGTTCTGTGTGCTTGATCTTCGCAAGTGTTATTTTCAAATCGGTGTGAGAGAAGAGGATCGTCCTAAAACGACTATCGTCACCCCGTTCGGCGCTTGGCAGCACCTTCGGCTCCCGATGGGACTCAATGGTGCCGCGGCTAGCTGCGCCCGCATGCTCGATATTGTTTTGCGCGATCTTCCCAAGGGCACGTGTCATTCCTACTTTGATGATGTTTGTTTGGGTGGTAAGACGTTCGAGGAGACACTTGAGAAGCTCGAGCTAGTTCTAGACAGGCTCCACCGAGCCGGTCTCACGATCAATCTGGAAAAGTGCTCCCTGTTCCGTTCGAGTGTCAAATTCTTGGGACATGTGGTGGATGAGAGTGGCTTGTCTCTCGACCCCGACCGTGTGAGCAAAGTGCGCGACTGGCCGATTCCGCGGACAGCCAAGCAGCTCTCCTCATTCCTAGGGCTGGCTGGTTACATGCGCAAATTTGTCAAAAATTTTGCGAGCATCTCTGCACCGCTCTTCAAGCTGTTGCAGAAAGACGTGAAGTTCCAGTGGTCAGAGGAGGCGCAGTTCTCGTTCGACCGGCTTCGCAAAGCCCTCAGTGAAGCCCCAGTGCTGACGCTGCCCGATTTCAGCCGAGACGCAGGTCCTTTTATTCTTGATTGTGATAGTTCTGACACCCAGGCGGGCGCCGTGCTGCTACAGGTTCAGGGTGGCGTGGAGAAAGTGATCGCGTATGGGAGTCAGAAGCTGTCAAAATCGCAGATGAATTACGGTACCACTCAGAAAGAACTGCTAGCGGTAGTGATCTTCGTGCAAAAGTTTTCTGCGTACCTGGAAGGTAAGGAATTTAAAGTACGGAGTGATCACGCGAGTCTCCGATGGCTGCTCAATTTCCGCAACCCGACTGGCATGCTTGCCCGCTGGTTCCAGATCTTGTCTCAGTTCCACTTCACCATCGAGTATCGCCCAGGCGCCCTCCACACAGTGCCAGACGCTCTCTCCCGCAGACCAGACGAGCAGACTGATCAGTCATGTCAGACGGACCCAGAGACTGAATACTGCTTTCAGGTAAGGTCAGACGATTGGTCGACCAGCTACATTCGCTCGGAGCAAGACAAGGATGAGGATATCGCGGAAATATCGAAGTGCGTCTCCGCGGGAACCAAGCCTAAAGCTAAGGATCTACCCCAGTCGTGTCGCAAATACTTGTCGCAGTGGTCCAGATTGCGACTGGTGGGCGGAGTTCTGTTCCGCGTGTACAGAAGAAGGCCTGGCGATTCTGATCAGCTACAGGTAGTGCTGCCCAAGAGTCTGATCTCAGGGGCGCTGACTTCTCTGCACGCCGGACCCACGGGAGGTCATTTCGCTAGTGATAAGTTGTTAGCGCAAGCTAGGTTAAGGTTCTGGTGGCCCGGCATGGCTGTAGATATAGAAAAGTTCTGTAAGTCGTGTCACCGCTGCGGCGAGCGGAACAAGCCGGTTCCCGCCCCGCGAGCGTCCCTGGGCCAGCTGCCAGCCTCATCGCCCATGGAGGTAGTAGCGCTCGACATTTTGTCTGGCCTGCCAGTGACGTCGCAGGGGCACAGACACTTGCTCGTAGTTATCGATCATTTTTCGCGATTTGTAGAGTGTATTCCGTTGAAGACACAAGAGGCGACTGAGGTAGCTCAGGCGTTTGTCAGAGAGTTTGTGTCTCGATATGGGGTGCCAAAGACGATCCATTCGGATTTGGGTGGCTGCTTCACCGGGGAAGTTATGAAGCTCACGTGCCAGTTACTGGGGATAGAGCAGTCACATACCACGGCATTCCATCCGATGGGTAATTCAATCTGTGAAAGAATCAATCGCACTGTGCTTGGTATGCTGTCTAAATTCCTTGAGGATCACGAGCACTCAGACTGGGACATCCACCTGCCCCTTTTGATGCTCGGGCTCCGCAGTCAGGTGCACCGCTCCCTCGGCGTGTCACCGTACTGCGTACTTTTTGGCAGGGAGCCAAGGCTGCCCGCCGATGCCGAGTACGCCGGTCCTACTCGGTGCAGGACCCGACCCATCACGGAGTATCTAGAGAGGCTGCAGACCAATCTGCGTGCTCTGCACAAAGTAGCACTAGAG